AAAAAGCCTGTACAGTTGTGGAACAGCATACTATGGACAGATAAAACAAAGATCAACTACCAGAATGATGGGAAGACAAGAGAAGGAAGAAGGGAAGGAACTGCTCATGATCCAAAGCACACCACCTCATCAGTGAAGCATGGTGGAGGTACTGTTATGTCATGGCCATGTATGGCTGCCAGTGGAACTGGTTCTCTTGTATTTATTGATGATGTGACTGCTGAGAAGAGCAGCAGGATGAAAGCTGAAGTGTTTGGAGCTACATTATCTGCACAGATTCAACCAAATGCTTCAAAACTCATTGGACGATGCTTCACAGTACAGTTGGACAATGACCTGAAGCATACTGCAAAAGCAACCAAAGACATTTTTAAGACAAAGAAGTGGAATGTTCTGCAATGGCCAAGTCATATCATCTGACCTGAATCCAATTGAGCATGCGTTTCTCTTGCTGAAGCCAAAACTGAGGGCAAAACACCCAAAACACAAGCAGGAAGTACAGACGGCTGCAGTAAAGGGCTGGCAGAGCATCACCAGGGAAGAAACCCAGCATCTGATGATGTCTATGTGTCCAACACTTCAGGCAGTCATTGACTGTAAAGGATTTGCAACCAAGTATTAAAACTGACTATTTAATTGATGATTATGTTAGTTTGTCCAAATACTTATGAGCCCTTAAAGTTGGGGGACTGTGTGAAGAAATGGTTGTAATTCCTACACGGTTCATACTACATTTTTGAAAAAAAGCCTTAAATGAAAGCTGAGAGTCTGCACTTTAAGCAGGTATTCACTGTTTCATTTAAAACCTACTGCGGTGGTGTACAGAGCCAAAATGACGACAACTGTATCACTGTCCAAATAATTATGGACCTGACTGTAGCTGTTCTGTTATACATTAGTGCATATTCCTTCCTTCCTTCCTATGTTCATTCAGTGCTGGTTCCTGTTTATCCTATTTAATTACAGTACGTGCAGTTAAAGATACTGGGCTGTAGGCTTTCTGGTTCGTTAAACTATTGGATGATTTGAGGTATTCTCAGTTTATATATGAGAATTTTCCTAGTCGACCAATAGTCATCATTTGGGGCCATTAGTCAACTAGTCACCTGCATGTTTCCAATATTAATTTAATTATTAAATGATATATTTTGGGCGGGGCAACACAATGGTTTGAGTTGAAGGTGTGAGAAAGAATAGTATCAGTAACATTGTTAACACTGTGCTACATTACAGAGAAATACAAACCGTACTAATGAACCTTCATTAATATAGGCCTATATTTTATCTACAAGTGCACGTCACACACTGAGCGAGCCGCCTGCTAATGACGCTGTGGGCTAATGGGCATGTAGCTACTTCCATGTTTCAGATGATACGTCATGTTTGTTGTCAACCAATGAAGATGAGTTTACATATCACCTTGGGTTCGTCCTTCACCTTCTCAAAATGATCCCACACTTTGGATTTCCTGCCCGACATGTTATTAACTAGCCTGTGTGCTGCTGTACGTTTGGTGGACTATTAGCCGACAGCTCTAGGTTATAGACAGTAACTGTTATTTGCAAGTGAATTCAGGTTGTGATGAGATTGATTTATTATGTTTATTGTCTGGTGATTTGCTGCAGCAACATCAGATTTATGTCCCAATCTAATCCCTGGCATGTTCGTCAAATGCACCGTCTGTCTTATCATGATAACCGTTGTCCTCCGCAAAATAAATTATAAAACAAATGACTCCAGTCTCTTTTCCAAATTAGCTGCCACTTTGTAGAAGTTGGTGAGGTCAGATAAGCAGCTCATGGTCGGGCTAACTGCTGCTGTGAGACATTAAGAACAAGTGTCTCACTGCAGATAAGAAAGAAAATGAGCAACACCCAGAATGAAAAAACACGCATTGAAATTACACCAAGAACAGCAGATGTAGTTAATGTGCTGCTTACCAAAAGAGAAACATCTGACCTGCTTCTTTACAGGATTGGATAAAGAACTCATGAATACTCTGGACAATGAATCACAGCTATAATTACACATGGCGGAGAGCACATGATGAAATTCAAAGTCATGATGTGAGCAGGTGGTGGGTACCTTTTCCGTAGGAGTATGTGAAATTCAGAGCTCCGCAAGCTGGTAATGGATACATAAGGCAGCTCAAACTCCTGCAGCTTCCGCACAACTAAGAGAGAGACACAGAAAAAAAAAGACAGAGTGAGGGAGAGTACAGAACAAGTGCAGCTACAGTAAAGTCCCAAGGACATTTGGATAATGACGGTAACAACAAACAATGAGGGATGGGAGAACTCCATCTGGACAGGTCCCAGCAGGGTAAAACTTTGTGTGTGTGTGAGTATGTGTGTGTGTGTATGTATGTGTGTATGTATGTGTGTGTGTGTGTGTGTGTGTGTGTGTGTGTGTGTGTGTGTGTTTGTCCCTAATCTGCAGCTGTTTCATTGCGGCCCATTCCCTCAGGAGAGAGAAGGAGATCTCAGGTGCTTGCTGAGGCTGCTGCTGTGTTTCCAGGCATCAATAAATGTGCACATCGCTACAAATCTGATGACTAAACAGCACTTTAGTTTGCCATTAGGTTCCTAAAAGTATGTTTACAGAGATGCTGCGTACAGGAAGCAGAAACACACATGCTAGTCGGTTTGATGTTGGGAGTCTCTGCAGGAATAAATACAAACTGAATGCTTAAAATGTTTTGGAACATTCTTAGGCGAACTAAATCGTCAGAAGGAAACTGCGGAACAGCCTTAAAATGCAGATGAAAAGGCCCGCGCTGCCATTTGAAACCACATACTGATTCTTCTTGACATGTCTTTGCATATTTTACAGCGCGCATTGATTTACACACAGATGTCTGGAAACTTACTGCCTGTCAGAGAGGAATTGAATTCTTCTCGCTATCCTGTTATGTCAATACTCCCACCAGCAGTTTTGTTTGATCCACAGCCTGCTGCGCCGGATTTATTCTGGTAGTCGAGTCGTATTCAACACATGGCCCTCCTCCTTTCATACCGCTCGGAGTTTCAGATTTAAACTGTGCCAAGGATATACAACATGCCCACGATATTTACAGATTCCTCCAAGTTCACCTGGCACCATTTTCAGCCTGGAATGGATTTGGCGTGAGGAGTGGGGGAGCGTTTGGCAGGTGGAAGACGAGAGAAGAGAACCTTTGGGACCGAGGGGGGGATTTGACCTGACAGGGCTGTGATGAAATGGAAAGAGAGGGACTGGAAAACTGAAATATCTTGATGTGGAAAGCTTTGTGCCTGTGTGCCGCTGTGGTGTCCCTTTGACAACAAATGCAAATTCAAATAACTGACTGTGATTTGCATTCACACAGTTACTCCTAAGTGAACAAATGAGTGTAAACAAATATGACAGGACCTTTTGAGTGTTGGAGTGAAGCGTTAAGGGGGTTTAACATGATGAAGTAATGGGGCACAGAGGATAATGTCAGAACATAATAGAAGTCTATTAAGTACAAGAACTATTAGAAGATTATCAAATCAGGAAAGTGAGGAACAAGCTCAAAATCATGGCTAACACAAAGCAAACTGCACCACAACTGTCTCCAGACTTGAACAGGCTTCCAGCAGCTTTAAAAAAATACCACAAGTAATCATAGTTTCTCCCGTGATGTGAAAAACTGGATTTTAAGCAGTCAGTCTTGTCAGCACTGATCTCAGATAGATGTTAGCAGTTACCCTCATGGGTACATGTACTGCTAACTTTGTCACGTGCAATGTATTTATTGTATATTTCGTAGTGTAAATTGTATTGTGCAGCCTGTGCCTGCCATGTTTATTGTGTAGGGCAGAAAATTGTTAACTTGGTCACTTCATATTGTACTTCGACCATGCAGTGTGAACTTACTGTTTTTATTACGTAAGGCACCTTCACTGGTAACCTGGTCACTTTACGAGGCAGCTACTGTGCTTTTATATTGTGTTATGTACTGTGCAGTGTGTACACACTGCTTCTGTTATGTCAGGTGCATTGATTTACTGTAGACTGCATTGCACCTTCAATTGCTGCGGCCCTGCTGCCTGCTCTCTCCGGTTTTACGCCAGGCTCGGCTCCTTTCAAAGACTCCTTGCTAAGCACTCCTCCGGGCTTTTTGCGGACCTAATTGTATTGCGGAGTTTTGCACAGCGGTGACCTGATCTTTGCTCTCAAACCACAAAAAAATGTGATGGCACAACAGTCTCCTTCAGTACATTATTCTATGCTTTCTTTTGATTTTCACATTGGCTAGTCATCCTGTTTAATTTGTCTTCTGATTAAATCGGAACCGTTGAAACAAGTTGTAGGAAGCCTCTGCAAGTAATTGGTTGCTGGCAGACACTCTGTGCTGCAATAAAATGGTTAATCAGCAGTGCCGTGCACTGTAGAGCCTATGCGCTGCTGGTTCTGCCGGCCTGAATAGAATATAATGTCTACTGTTTTGTACAGCCTTTATAGACTGAGCTGAGTAGTGATGCGCGGGTCGACCCGTAACCCGCGGGACCCACAAATGGACCTGCGGGTCGGGCAGCACTGATCGTCTGTTAAATCGGTCTGTAAATGATATTTTGACATTATTGGCTCTTACTGTCATGGCATCCGAAAGTACTGATGCGTTGAGCAGGTGACAGTCCGCGGTCGTTTTCAAAACACACTTGTGTCACGCACTCCAAAAGAAACTTGTTGAAACTTTAAATAATTTAATTTAAATAATTTATTGTATAAAATGGGGGAAACAAACGTTGACAAAAACGGTTCCATAATTCATATTAAATTCAAAAGATAACGAAAAAACAGCTACAAGTTAGAGGGAATAGTGATAAAGTGGTAAAACTTGGCATTGATCCACAGCCTCAGACGGATGCGCTCAAGCTTGCCATGCGCACAAGCTCAGTTGGTAGGCTATACTATATTTTCACATTTTTAACAATGCAATTTAAAAGTTTTGATTTTTATTGATATCCTACATTTACCAACAACAAAAAGACTACATTTAGCACCAAAAAATATGTAAAAAAATTAATAATAGCCTAATACTAAAAAAAAAAAAAAAAAAATATCGAATACCAAATTTTCATAAGGAAAACCTACCCATAGAAACGAATATTCGAATATCCGAATATTTGGGTACAGCCCTACTGGCCACTCAACTCGATTTTAAAAGTGTTTTTGAACGAAACACAAAATGTCGATGTCAAATCCAGAGTGAAAAAGTGCAGAGCAGATCCATGCTGCTACTAGCAGAGTGCTGAAGAGGACAACATGAGAAACAACAGCCTGACGTAAGACGCCACAATAAATTGTTTGGAGGGTAAAACGATGGGTTTTCATTTCTCAAGTTTCCCATTTGGAATGCCGTGTCACCAGCGCCACTACATAGTTACTGACACCTACCTTGTGACCTGGATACGCAATTCTGATTTGATTACTTGCAAATAATGCAGACAGTCAAGATCTGTTTTCAAACACAAATCTGATTTTCCTGCAGTCTTAACTTAGCCTCACAGCCCAACTGCATACATATCATCTCGTGTGATGCTACAAAGCCAGTCAAATCTGTGCTTTCCGATAAGCATTGTGACTCGAGTGAGTGAATGAGCACGCAGGAGAAATGAGAGACAACAGTCGGAAAACTAAACGAGTCACAGAAAAGTAATTTCATATGGTGTGCTCTAAAAAGACAAAAGTATATAGCAAAAACAGAGCTTCTATCAAGAATGGACCAAACAGTGTTCCAGGGTTAACCAACGAGCATCTACACCTGTGTATGAGAATGGCTCTAAGACCACACGGCCCAGATTTAAAATCCTGGCAAGACAATCTAAAGCTTCCTCCTCTCACTGAAGAAGAGAAAGTGGGAGGCGGAATTTAAAAGGGAAAGAAATAAAAGGAGCTGTTAAAGCTGCCCCATTGTTAGGATGTGTTTAGATTATTGATTATAAAATTGGTTGTGACAGTTAAGATGTGAGATGGAGTTTACAAAAAAGGAGAAAAAGGGAAAGTTATTTATAATCCTTCCAGTTCAATGAGAAAACTGACAAAAGAAATTGTGTTGAAATAAAATTGAATTGTACTTTCTTTGACTGATTTGACAGTCGGGTGTTGAATACATACAGACAACGAAACAACTACAAGGCTGCTACAATAGACTGTATATGGAACTGAATCATGATGCAAGTTGCACATTATGATGTACTGTTTGAAAAGCTTTTCTCCAAATGGACCTCTTTGATATACCACATACAGTAGACTTGCACTTCCCATAAACAGAATAACAGACACTAGAATTAATTAGTTTCTAGTGAGGATTTTAGTCATGTTTACACCGTAAAAGCCTAGTCTCCATTAAAGGCCCAGTCCTTTTACTAGCCTGGTGTGGCTACACATTTTGACAAATAAAGGCCCGTCTCAATTAGAGGCCTGGTCTGGTTGCCAAGCAGTTCATTTTAACAGAAGTTCTTTCAGATTATTGACTACCCACTTGAGCTAATATCAGTTAGCTAGTTAGATAACACGTACAAATATAAATGTTTGAACTTTTGTCGATATGGAGAAGCTACACATTGTTAGCTCGTCTTTCCCACAAAAACATGCCCAATGTACATATAGAAGATGGAGGAAACAAAATCTCCAATTTAATTAACAGAACAACCTGTTTTCCATATATACAAATTATTAGGACACCCAAAAAAAGCACACAGCCATGTGTTTTTATACACATCTTCTATTTGAGTGTCTGAAGCACAAATAAATTTGGACAGTCTGCGGAAACACTAGACTCATCTTACGTCTTTCTGGGAAAATTACTTGACTCATCAGCAGTCAGTCTGTGAATGCCATGCCATTTTACATTGAGTCGACACAAGTGTCAGATTTTAGACCTCAGACCACAATGAATTCATTCTCAATCTGAAAACAGTGCACACAGCCTGGTGCGCAAGCTCAAGTCACTTGAAACACTGCACAACTGTTTTGCATGAAGCAGCCAACAAACACACAGAGCCTGGCTCTCACTGAGTTTCTGTGCAGCTAATAAATGAATAATGCATCCGAGCCAGAGATACAGTAGAAACTCTAATACAAGAGACAACTCTCATGGGGCGATGCAGCTCTCCTTTTTTAATTAAACTAACAGTACATCTCCAAACTGTGAGACGGATAAACTGAGCTGCTGGACAGTTGCCAGAGGAAACTCTTTATGCTTCGTTGCCGAGAAATTAGAATGAAAGAAAACTAAAATCAAAAGCGTGACATTACAGAAAGTTATTCTTTGGTGCAACATGACAAATGTTATAGCGATTAATCACAACTCCTGGTTCCTTTTGTTTCTCGGTTTATAAGAATAATTCGTCCTCTAAGTTCTGTGTCTTTCGAGAATGGTCCCTGGCTGGCCTGAAACAGTAGTTTACATATACATTATTTTATCAAAGAGCTTTGTCTACAGCACATTTTCTTTGCTTCAATAAACAAGACTGGTTATCTGATGGTTTCCAGCTGTAGTGAGGCCGAAAATAAGAAGCCCTTGAGATGCCTATGTTCAGAAATCTCTGAAAATGCATTCCAAGTCGACTCTAAATAATCAGCAGTGATGATTTATGGATTCCTTTCCCTGATATCTTAATTTGCTCTCTCTTTGACATTTTTATCAGCTGGTAATTAATCATATAAAATGAGACATGATACAGAATACATTCTGAGTCGTAAATATGGCAGGGAAAGATAAGATGTTTTCATTCCTTGAATTCCTCTGATTCTTTAGAATATTGTTGAAACTTACACGTTAAGCCTCCGTCCACACCTTCACGTACGAGGAAGAGATTGAAGTAACCAACAAGGTCATCTGGAAGGTCGAGTTTTGTTGCAACAGCCTGCAGAGAGATGAGAGAGTGAGTTTATTTTAGCATCAAATTCAATGAATCCATTCCTTCATCTGATTTTTGTTTTGCAGCAAGTTAAGAGGAATGAAGATAAAAGTGTCCGCAGACAGATAATAAAAAAACAGCTCAGTATGAAATGGAGAGACTGGATTATCCTGTAGATCAAATACTGGGATAAAGCAATCATACTGTACCATCTTAAAAAATTAATAGAATATTAAAACATTTCCCTGAAGCTCCTCTACACCCTCATGTTTCAATCCCATTAAGATATCAAATTTAAAGTCATGATAATATGATATTACATTTTCCTCAGTCCCCACAAATCTATTTTGGCCAATCTCATTCATTCTCACAAAGTAGTCAAATCAAACTGTTGGTCAATGAATCTTATGTCCTTCTATTAAAACCAACTCTACAGTGACATATTCGAAATAAAGCAGGATTTAGTGAACACTAGGTGCAGTTACATAGATGATATATCTCCAATCTGATTGAAATCATTCTTATTAGAGATTTCAACTAAACTGTTTACATGAACAGTAAATAAAGTTATATGATAAGATGTGTGTTACATGCCCTAAAGCATTAAATTGGAATAGAACTTTTTCGACTTGTGCAAAGTGGTTTAGCTCAGTTTTTCCCCAACCTTATTGAGAAAATTAAATTTCAGTCAGGAACACTTAAGTCAAAGAAAACTTTATTTCCATTTGCAGTATTATATTTGGCGGCATGGCTCTGTTCTGGGGCCCCTCTGCCTTTCCTTGGGCCTACGCAGAAAGCCTCTAATATGCGCTGACATGGAAGCAGCCTTAAAGCAGAGAGAGCACACCTTTCTGCCCTTCCACGTGCAAATGAGGAAAGCCCTAAGGCGGAGAGAGCACACCTCTCCGCCCTTCCATGCGCCTACATGGAAAGCCTAAGGCAGGGAGAGCAGCAGCAAAGACCCCCCCGGGAACAGAACAGAGCAGCATCAATGACAAACAGAAATGACACTGATAGGTCACAGTATGAAAAGGAGGCGCTGGGGTGAAGGCTGGTTGCAAATCAGCTTGCAGAGGAAACAGCAGCAGCAGGCAGGCCAGAGCAGTTTAAATATGGCGCCCTGAATGAGATTCACCAATTGGTTGCAGAGAAAGGAATCATGTGATCAATCATCTGACTCCCTTCAATCAATCAGCTGCTCTGTCAGTTGATTGGGATGTGAGCTGAGCTTGACATCGTGCCCAGCCTGAACTAATGCTACGCTAAATTAATTAAATACATAAAGTACAGTGGGATAAGAAGTGGTTCTGCCTGTTAATATAATTTAATCATAAGTAACGTAAGTGTAACCCAGGTTATTTTCTGTAGCTACAACTTCCAGATGTCCCCATAACACTAAGCAAGCCAACTATTAGTAGACGTAACATTCCACTGATGTGTTCAAAACATCTCATATGCAGGCTGCTGCTACTGGAGGCGACAGAAGACTGTTATGTCAATGAACTCCATAATGCAGCCTGTAACATTACATAAAGCTAGAATGCATTCACTAAGCAGAGCACTCACAAAAGAACAAAGCAAAAGCAGAGTGTTAAATACTTTTTGAATTCATGAACAAGTCAGTAGAGGGAGGTGCAAGGAAACAGCTGTTGCAGCATGTCGATGCATGCACCAGATACATCACCTAATGCTACACCCACGTGGAGCAAACGTGCAAAAATAATACATTTATTCCAACCAGAGAGAAACCAGTCTCTTCCAACTGAGGTGGTTACACAAGGCCTTTTAATTTGATTGGGTTATTACTCTGATTATTAGTGGGATATCAGGGTCCATGTAAACACACCTCCTGTGTTGTGGTGTAAAACAGGACTTTAGACCGTGTTACTATGATTCCATTAATCAAGAGCCTTTGGTTTGCCAAATTTCGCAATCAAAACAAAACAAACAACAGGTTACAACCATGAAACACTAACTTGACCGACAATAAGTTTTATTTTTCTTCATGAAGAATCAAATTTATCCAAGCAGCTACCTGGATGAGAAAACCTTGACAGTAAAAAGGTCGAGCTACAACCAAATGAACCCTTATCAAATTCGAATGTATCTATTTCCAGCACCTGCACAAAGCACTACTGTTACATTCTCACACACAGCACTCTCTGACATGTGCTTATCGTACCATTCCTCCTTTGACCTGTTTTTCACTTTCTGACGTTCAACCACAAACACACAACTGTTGTAAACACGTGTAACTGTTGTTGAAATTAAGGAAATCTGGCATTTCTGCTCACTGAAACACACACACACATTGAGAAACTTGTGATTCAGATAATGGTACTGTGCTCTGAGACCTGCTGTGGTCAACAGAGGTTAACCGTGGTTAAACTTTCACAAGAGCCCTTTGAAAACACTCCAACACACTAGATTTACAGCCAAGAGCAACAAAAGGACACCGTGATGAAACAATAGCATGTTTACTGTGATAAGTTGTATCAGAGTGTGTGTTCGTGTGTTTTCACGGTCAATCAAGAGCAAAGGTGGAGTGGAAGTACTTAAAAGGTTCGGTCACAGTCACTACGTGACCTACAAAAAACAAACACATTGAAATTAATTGGTCAAGGTGTCTGATTTTGTCACTCTGACTTTATGAAGTCATTTGATGCCTGCTCTGGTGAAGAGGGTCTCTTTAAATGGATGTGACTTAATCTGATACTGTATGTAGCGTCTGATAAACATCACAGCGTACAGAGGAGTCAGAGGCAATATTGCTTGCCTGAAGGAATTCCCAGGTGTCTGTCAGCACTGTTATGAACAGCGGAGAATAAAAGCCTCTAGTTAAACAGACACAAACACTGCAAAGGTTGACAACACACAGGGTTTAAAGCCTCAGATGGGTTTTACCTTATCAAGACGTCTGGCAGCTCGGAGTTAATCAGCACTAAATCATAAAACTTCCAGCTGTAAATATAACTGCAGTGTACTAGAGAGGACTATTTACTGTATCTACTTAGGTTTAATCTTTAATATTAATCTTTCAAATTAAGCAGTGCATCCGTTTATAAAACAGATCACTGGATCAAAACATTCAGTCACGTTGCACTTTGAGTAGGCCTGCACGGTGTAAGGAGAATCTGTGATGTGCAATGACATTGTTTAATATTGCACTGAAGATATAGCTTGCAATAAATAACATATTGAAGTGTGCATAGAGCTATACAGTTCCTATGTTGTTGGCTTCAAGAGGTGCACTGCTCACACAGACCCCAAACACTTCATATCCTTTATCCACTGTATAAAGATATCAGATTTGCTTTTATCGCATGAACCCTCTAGACACCTCAGGTCCTCTGATAGTGGTCTGTCAATCATCCCCAAAGTTAGAACAAAAACCCACGGTGAGGCATCATTTCATTCATTTTCATTTTTTATTTTGTATTTATTATTATTATTGAGTATTTATCTATTTATTTATTTTTATTAATCTGTTTTTCTAGCTGGCATATTTTTCTATTTTGTCACTTATTTATTTACTTATTTACTGACTGATTTGAAATTGTTTTCTATTTTGAGTTTTTATCCTGCCTTGGGTGTTTCCCTACTTCGATAGCGTTGCCTCAGTTCCCCTTTTTATGAGTGCAGTTATAATTTTAGTCTTTACTTTATGTGTGTGAAGCGCTTTGTGTTGCATTACGTTTGATGAAAAGTACTATATAAATAAAGTTTGATTGATTGATTTAAGTAATAAATTATTTTGAACATGCATATTTTCTTTATGAGGCCAAAAGTTGCATATTGGGTATGACTTTTGTATTTACTTATTAAAAAATTTGGGCCTGTGTGTTTATGACAACAGAGTGAAAAAACTAATTTTACCCTAGGGGATTAATGAAGTATCTTTTTCTTCTTCAATGCAATGTAGATTTCAGAGTTTGCAAAATGCACCTGAATACGCCATGAAGTCCCTGTTCCTGTGTGGGCGTCAAACTCAGGACACAGACAGACAGCACAGGACAGATTCAGTGTGACTGTGAGTAGCACCAAAATATCATAGAGACTCTCAGCATAGTTTTTTATTACAAGAGGGTTGTGTACAAATATTTACCCACTACAGAGTGGCTGATGGCCTTTTGAGATTTACTCACCGAATGAAAAATCTACTGCATTTGGCGCTTAGTGGGTGTAAATTTTGGACCCTGTGCATGTAAAATAAAATTATTTTCCTTATTTATTGCGCTAGTTTTGGGCAGCACCTTTAACACATTCATTTTTCTTTAAATTTTTATTCAATTTCTTTATATTTATTATCCAACTGAATCAGAAATATCTGTATAAATTCGGACTGGACCCAAATATTTAACTCTTTGGATATTCGTTAATTGGGTAGGTGTTTGCGTTTTAATTTTGGGTTTCAGAACCACTTAATTTTATAAATATAAAATATAAATGCTTTGACAGGTGCTGTCTGGAGCTCTGAGCCTGTTATTATGAGCGTTTACATTCAGCCACCCCCGGATGAAGCTTCAAATATTCACTGTCTGTGTGTACCAAAGCTCTAGAACCCAAAAAGTGGTATTTGAGACAGCCCTTATATAAATTATTCGTTAGTGAAGTACCAGCTGACACCATGTGTTTATGCACTCTTCAGCAGAGCACACTCCGGCACTTACATCAAGGACGTCCTCCGTCTGATCTGAAGTCAGAATGTTGACTGTGACCTTCTGACCGTTGGAGAGGCAGATGTCTAGAGAGACTTCTTCTGTGGGAATCTGCTGCGTCTCCTGTGGGAACTACACAAAACATAACAGGTTTTCCTTCAGCTTCATGGTTCAGCTGTGTGTTTTCATTCCTATCGGCAAACAACAAAATCACACCGAGACACAGGGCAGAAAAAACACGGGCTGGTCGGAGAGAGGGCAAATTTCCAGTGGAGATAAAAACAAAACATACGAGCGCTACCATTCCATAGTTAGACTTTTCATATAGAGTGCAGCTGCATTGATTCAAGGGTCAAGAATGAAATCAGCAGAAATTCATTCAAGTCCAAAACAAGAATACAAACTAAATATATCCAGGGGAGGTGGACCTGATTTTATCAACATAATAAAAGTATATTGATTTGAGTTAGAGGGAGAAGACACAAGAACAAATTGGATACTTGATGAGAATTATTTTATGCAACACACAAAATGAAGTCTGACTGTTTATCAGTGCAAATAGAATAGGCACACCGAGATTTAATTCAAGGCAGAGCTAAATTAAAATCACTTTGTATGAAAGTGGATGTGAATTAACCTTTAATTTCCGAAACAAAGTAGCAGCCAGATTAATGTTAAGCCATCTGCAATTACAACTCTTATATGCTCTAACTCACAGTGTTGTCCAGTGGTTTTCAACCGTTTTTGTCTCAAGGTCCTCGCGATATTTCGACTTGTTGACATATTGACGTCATACTGTTATCCACGGCAACAACAAGCATGGCTGAACGAATTATTACAGACTCTGTGGTGGTTCCAAAAAGAGGAGCAGCTTCAGTAGTGTGGAATCAACTGTTGCATCCTGAATGTTTTATGAACAGCCCCGGACTTCTCAGAGTCTTTTAGCGACTTACCGCTCAGAAGGAACTCATTCACTGGCTCCTCTGGCAGCAGCACAGCGTCTCTCCCTCTCCTCTCTCGCCGTACGCACACGGGAGTTGGTATCGTCAAGTGATTTTGTCATAAATCTTTGGTAATGTAAACCTACGTGACGCTCATGGCTCGACAAAAAAATCTATATATGTGAACGTGTGATAGTTGTGGTATCATAACAGCCTGTCACAGGTTACAGCGTGATGATTAGAGGAGAAATGTCAGAGCATTAGGGAAAGGTGGAATAAAAACAACTCAATCATTTAGGAATGGATCCGCCTTTTCGTGTGGAACCTCCCATCTACAACGACCTTGGGACACGCCGACGTTGGAGACTTGGCTCAGATTCCAGAGTTACTTCTTATATTGAAACCTCCTTAAGGAATCTAATCCCAGTTGCTTCAGCGGTGGGAACCTCTTGCAACCACCAACTATTCTGCATTTTTCTGGGGCACACTCAAGGACCCCTGATTGAGAACCACTGGTGTAATCCCTGGGACTGAAACTAATTTGTGATTTGATTGTTCTGCGGTAGAGCTGCAATGATTAGTCAATCAAAAGACAATTACCAAATAATCACAAAATATTTGTATAATTTTGAGTCATTTTTCAGGCAAAACAAATCAAACATTTGCTGGTTTCAGCCTCTAAATGTGAGACATTGGTGCTTTTCTCCATCATTTATGGTAGTAAATGAAGAGTCTTTGGGTTTTGGTTTGTTGGTTGAAATAAAAAAGCAAAGACATCACTTTGGGCTCTGGGAAATTGCGATGAGCATTTTTCACATTTTTTTTCATTTAGAAGACTAGATGGCTCAGTTAACTGTGAAAACAATCGTCAGATTAATCGAAAATTATAATAAAATCGTTAGTTGCAGCCTTTTACTGCTTGATTATTATCCATAGTGTCAAAAAAAGGTGAGAATGTCAATCCCAATTTCCCAGAGCCCAACAGTTTAATTCAAAGATATTCAGTCTACAATAATATAAAAAATAATGAAACCAGCAAATTTAATAATCTAGAACCAGATAGTTTTGCCATTATGTCTTCAAAAAAATAGTACTAAGGATTAACCAAGTTTCAAAATTGTTGCAGATTAATTTTCTGTCAATCAACTAATGCAATAATTGATCTTCTCTCCTCTCAGCTCACAGAGACACAGAGGGAACGGTATTCATTAGTTACTGCTGTGTTTGTGAGACCGTTCGTTCCTTAACTGAACGAGGCAGCCGGTGGAACAAAAACCCACAACATCAATGAATAACAAGTGAGGAAAATAAACTGCCGAAACCTATGAATATTTCAAGACTCTAAACAAAAGCCTCTGAGCTGCTATTAAGAAATCTTAAATCTTAAACTGGATGAGCCCAGCTCCTGCTGTCCCCAGGCTGCGTCGCACCACCTCTGCTAAATCATCTCTTATCTTCCCTGTTCCCTCTGCGGGGGGTCTTCCAAGTACATCCCTACCACTAAAGGTGCAGATGACACGACAACACCGGGCGGTAACTCATCTACTATTCTGCACCTGCTTTCCTCGCAGTACATAAGGCGCTGGGGGGGAGGGGAGAGAGACAAACACAGACTCTAATAGGAGAGGAAGACAGAGGAGGAGAAGCAGAATGGGTGTGACGTGGCTGCAGATAGATGAATCTCTCCATGAAGGTTATTGGATTTACAACCCCCCTGGCAACGCAGGTCACAGCTTGAATGATGACAAATCAGCCCAATACCTGGTCTGAATACATCGACATACCACTGGTGTGAAATAGCCTTTTGAGTTTGGGATCTTACAGCATCGTCCACTACAGCTTTTAGGCAAATCCGGTGAGATGACTCATTAGGTGGCTCACTTTTTTTTTTTTAATATAATGGTTCAAAATGATCCAGCTCTCACACACAATGCAACTATGTCGCTTTATTTGGCAATGGGTTGCTTTCCCCTCAGTTTCGCATCTGACGTAATCATTTCACACATTTTTGCATGCAAGCCAAACTTAATCTGACACATCTAACCAACTACTTCACAAGTAGAGATGACGCAACCGAGGATAAGAGTACATGCAGCCACAAACTGTGACAAACACTAAGACCTCATTTTACCACATTACCAAAAGAAATTACTGGTCAGGCAGAAATCACTGCATCAGCCTTTTGGTTCAGGGAGCACGCCCTGCCTCCTCACAGGCCTGCTGACCATGTTGACGCAACAAACAGCCTAATGCAGGTACAGCAGATTAAAAACAACACGACTAACCTGCTGTGCTTTCCTTAAGAAGCTGTTGAACATCTCACTGGCTCCGAGCAAGGGGTCCTGACGCACTGTAAAAAAACACAGGAGAGGATTTAGCAACATGAGTACAAAATTAGTGAGTGTAATAGAAGGAGCAGCTCAAATCAAAGGAGATTTGTCAGGTGTGTTAAAGCTACATTAAATAACTTTCTTCTTATTTGCTGAAGCTGTCACTATTTTCAAACGGCACTAAATGAAACAGGCGGCACGGTGGTACAGTGGTTAGCATTGTCACCTCACAGCAAGACGTTTCCTGGTTCAAACCTGAGAGGGGGGGGGGTTTGAATCCTTAGGTGGAAGATAATTGGTGACTCTAAATTGGCCGTAGGTGTGACTGTGAGTGTGAATGGTTGTCTGTCTCTATGTGTCAGCCCTGTGATAGTCTGGTGATCTATCCCTCTGCCTACTCTGTTGCCTGAAAGTGCTTCTAATGGAGACTGAGCGCAACACGTCACACTCTGAGAGCCACGCCCACCAAAGGGGAAAGCATTGGCACCACAAGCTGACAAAATGCCTGCAGCTAGCTTAAACATTAGATTTCAGCAAGTCAAGGAATTATTTTAACCCCTTGTGTCGACCAGAGAGGAAGAGTTACGCTGACAATACTGTCAGTCTGTCACAGCGTCCCCTCTCCTTGTCTTGCTTATCTTGGATAAATGATGCCACTGAATGGTCAGAAGTGAAATACTTTAATATCTACAGAGGCAGAGGGTACTTGCTGTAGCTCTGGTTGAGGGTGAGAGGCTGTCAGCAAATAGTTTGTTGTGCACAGGGAAACAGAGATCTGTGTGGGTACATGAGACCCTAAAAAAGAGGGTTTATCATGGGGAGTACACCAGTTGGTCCAGGAGTTTCGCCTCCATGATTGACGTTTCCAGGCATATTTTAGGATGACTCAGGGGCAGCTTGGCGACCTGCTGTCTGGGTACCCATCGACCACTACCCCCAGTTTCTCCTCCATTGTTTACCAACTGTAAAATTGTTGTCGTGACCACCACAGAAGGCCCTTCTCTCAAATCATCCGAGGGGCGTTTTTCCGCATTGAGTTGAAGTTTTTTCCACTCGAGGAGTTCAGAGCGCTCCGGCAAAAACGCCAGCTACTTAGAGCGTAGAAACACGAGGTGTGTCACAACGCAAAAACTGTGAGCAAAAAGCTTTATTCTCATTAAAAACAATTCCAAAAGGTGCCTCCAGCTGCTAAAACATAGTGTTGTAGTGGATGTTATATAAACATAAACCTCCTTGGGGGACGCCATCTTCCAATTGTCCTTGATTTTCCTCTTATCATGCAATTTTATTTTGTTCCTGTAGAATGGGTTTGACCTTTTAAAACACTTCTCAAGGCCATTTAGCTAAACATGCACAAAAAACTAAACTGTTACCTGGCAAAGCTTCAGTTAACTGTAAATAATTACAAGCCACTTTCATCATAATGTAGTCACCAGATCTGGTAAACAAAAAGATGAACAACTCTCATTCTCATGTCTTTGGATTTCAGCTGAGGCAGTTTTCAGTCAGAGTGTGGTGCATTAAATTATCTGCATGATAACCCTGTATGAGTAATATAACTAAGTGTGTGTGTGTGTGTGTGCGTTGGCCTGTACACCATTGTCCTTTTACAAATTAGTCTAAACCTTCGAAAAAATGTCAAAGTTCTGAGCCATCTGCGTCAGAGCAGATTGTGTTTGTGGCAGTTCATTTTCCATAACTATGTAAAAAGCCATGATGTAACCAAGTAAACTTGTAGCCAAGAACACCCTGTGTGCGTATGCTCCCAGACTATGAGCAAATACACACTTGAACAACGCTTCCTTGTTCTGCTGTAACTGCCAGTGCTTGAGAGGATTAAAACAAACCCTGCACGGTGCTGCCAGTTTCACTTATTTGTGTGCATGTGTGTGTGTGAAGAAAGTTCACCCTCGACCTGTTTACAGAATTTGGGCAATATGCTGAAAACCTCCCAAATTGGGAGAAGGAAAACTTTGGGTCCTGAACATTTAAGACTTGCAGATGGAAGCTTAAAAACTGTCAACAGGCAAAAAAATAACTCGTCTCTCTCCTGCTGTAGACTAAGGATGTTCCTAACAACTTATTTCCCTGACGTATAAACAGAAGTTTAAACTTAGACCAGTCTACAAGTCTTAAAGTAAGAAAACATTCAGAAAACTGTCAACATTAAGCACAATTTAATCTATAAGGCAAAACACTGTCTAAAATAACTGTATATTACTGTATAAGAGGAGAGCCATTTGAAATTGTTAAAGAGGACCTATTATGTTCAGTTAAAGGTAACTACTTGTATTTAAGGTTTCCACTACAACAGGTTTACATCCTTTAATGGTCATACTGTCTTTGCTGGAACGTCTGTATTTACTTTTACTATTTCTGTCTGAAACACTCCATTTAGCACCTGTCTCTTTAAGCCCCCCCTCCCAAAACCGCCCACTCTGCTCTGATTGGTCAATGTTTTCAGGTCTTCTGTATCTCTGAGTCTCTGCACCATTACTGCCACCACGGGAATAACTGTAACGGAGAATAGCTGCACTTTCTACTGTGAAAATTCTAATCAAAAGCTTCGAAAGTCAGTCGGACAGAAGAGGATTACGTTTCCCTGATGTTAGCAATGTAGCTACACATATGTTAGCGGTATCCTCGTAGCCAGGTAATGATCATAATGGAGTAACTTGCGACAGTACTTTCTGAATCACTGATAAAAGCTTCTAAATACAACTGGGCATGTTCTGGAGGGAATATGAGTTGAAATCAGGGAGAATTTAACAATACTGGCAACCAAGTTTACATGTTTCCCTGACGTTAGCATGTAGCTACATGTAGCAGTGTATGTAATGTAAAAACTGATGGAGCAGATAACCATATAAAGTAATTCTGCGCACTGAAAGCCAGAGTAAAAAAATGTTGGAAATGGAGTGATTGAAATGGTTGGAAACCTGAGGGCTTTGCTCACAAGGATTACTTCTACACGTTTGCCTCATCATTTGAGACTTTGACCATCTTTAATATGAATATCCGACATTGTAAAACTAAATATATGACACAAAACTTCAGAAACATTCACAATTCGTCCACTTAAATCACATTTTTCAGTAACCAAATCGTATTTTAAATGCTACTAAAATGTGTGCACTATAAACACTGCACATTACCCTTCAAAACACGACAACAACTCACTATATAAAATGAAATTACTGCCAAACTGCACTGGTTTTACGAGATGTCATCTTTGTCCCACTTTCCACCTCGGTACTTGTGGGGCAGGGCGAACAGTTTTTTTTGCTTTTCCATTGTTTAATTTGAAATCCAGTGTTGTTAACATCAGTAGCTAAGGGATGCTTGTTTAATCGACTAGTATTTCTGATGCTGAGTAGCAATGGGGGCGACTAATTGCCCATATCCCCTGTTTGAACATCACAAAAATATTAATTATTCTTTGTAGCCGTCTATTCCCAAATCAAAGAAAAGCTAAGTATGAGTCCCAGAGGTGGCACATCATCACTAGAGGATCCAAACCCACAAAACCCAACCACGTCTGAAATCCTGAGTTGGGACTTTTTTTTCATCAGGTGTGTCAGCATAACTGTGTCTGGTGAGGCTTTGGCTCAGTGTCCCAGCTCAGTCTGTGCTCAGATCATCAATTCTTTAGTGAAACACTTTATGCTTTCATGTGGCATGAAGACACCATTGTATGGCTGGACTCCCCGCAGAGACAGAGCCAACTCATTCCTGTGATTGTTGTGGAGAAGCAAACATTTCAAGGAAAATGTGTCTGTGCTGCAAAGCTTCACTGTTAGAAAAACAAAGTCTTAGTTTGTTCAGATTTTTTTTCTTTTTTCACAACATTTGAAAAAAGCTGCATTGTGTACTGTGAGTCAGAGAAGAGTAGTAGCTAAATTAAAAACCGACAAAAACAACCACATTGGAGGTGGAATTTGCATTCAGCCAGAGGTGAAGTGAAATGCAATACAAGCCATCTGTAAAAAGTCCATCCAGCATGAATAACTCACCAGCCTGCATGTATTTCTCCAGCTGTTCCCGTCTCTGTTCGACCTCAGCAGGAGTCAGGGTGAAGATCTTCTTTGGAGGGAACGCAGGCACCACATTGCTGCCATATTCTTTCTTTATCTGTTGGTACAAAACACAAGTTGTGAAGGTGACGTTGCAGGATGACAGGCTGCACAACCTCTGTTCATCTTCTTTTGACCATTAACGGAAACTGAAAGGAGTCTGACGGCTAATTTAATTTTATTCGAATTCAAAACATCTGTGAAAACGGATATATAAGTTTATATGACTAAGCCAATTAACTTCAGTATAGAGTAGCAGCCTCTTAAATTAAAGAGTTGTGGATTCATTTTTCTAAGAGGTACATTCATGCTGTTTGAGATGAATCACAGGTTTATTTTAAGCCCTGTTTCAACGACTAGCTGGTGAAGTTTCCGTGCATAACACACACATGCACATCTGGAACCCTGCATGTCTAGTCATTCCAAGTTTACTTTGTCTTCCAGCTTCTTGACTCATTTCTTCCCATTTTTTATCATTGGAGGGCTGTTTTTTCTTTGAACCGTGGAAGTCCTAAACTAAGCCCTCGTAGATCTGAAATTCACACATCAAATGTGGTTTAATTTAAACCTGTGTGCTGCTGCAGGCAAAAGCTGTACATCACACTCATCATTAGGAATTCACTGACACATTTTTTCTCGCTATAAAACCCTCAGGTCTGGCACATATGGCATGATGAATGTTGGCCACAGTGGGTGCTGAAGGAAGAGAGGTGAATTTCACCTTAAAATACTGCCCTTTGGTATTTTCAATACGTCAGAGGCAGGACTGCTCGCACATACAAATCAGCTCTCGTAGCCACAGACAGTGAGCATGAGACTCTCCAAAATCTGAAAGGCTCATACAGCTTCTTATTAGCAAAACTCTCCCTGTTTTCACTGTTGTGACCTTGTTATAAATCTTTGCAGAAGAGAAAACAAGAAGAATAATTAACATTAAAATGGTCTCTGTAATATTTGGGTGGAGTGTGTGCCCCGCAATCACCGGAGTGTTTTGGGGTCATGCATACGCCACGGGAAGCCCTGTGGGGTTCGTTCTTAAAGACTGGAGTGTGTCTTCCCCACACCCTGTTGCCAGGCAACGGGAACTGTCAGACTAGATAACACAGACTTGAGGACGGAGATAGCAAAGTTTGGCCCTTGCTTGCTTATTTATTAATGTGTGAAAACAGGAGATTGGGCACTTCTATACGGCTGTGTTAGAGTATATGCCAGAGCGTATATTTTACAGCACAAAGAGCTCACAGGCAGTCAGCTAGGAACCTGCGAATAAATCCATCTCTTGCAAACAATGCATCTACATCTGCAAGATCATTTGATTGCAGAGAAAATGTATGTTTAGCACTTCCACAAGCGTGTCAATATTCAACCACAGCGCTATAGAAAAACAAGCGGATGCTGAATACACTAATTGCCTAATAAGAGCTGTAACAAATAGCTGCGGCTCTGTGTAAAGCTTCACTGAGACTAAAAAATGCTTAAGACCAGGCAACTCTACACTTTCCAACAACATTTCTTTTTCAGATTAAGATGCTTTTCCAAGCAGGTGAAGGCAAAGAAAGGCCAAGAACATTCCTTCCATGTCACCCACCCCCTCCAGCCTCCTCCACAATACTCCCCATTTACATGCAACAGTTTGGACTCTGGGAGGAATGACAGCACAAGACTTCAAGCCACCGTGGTTGTGATTCAAAGTGATGGGAGGCTGGTGTATCGACCGTGCGACACAAAGAAGAGTGAAAGGTCACCCTGGGTGGTTGTGGTGGCATTTAAACAGCGTTCGGCGTGTCACACAAGCAGACCAGTCACTGCTGGGACAAAGCACACTGACAGCAATGGGTACTGTATGTTGCAATGGCCGAAGCCTTACCTGTTCGTGGAGGCCGAGAAGTTGGCTGTAGCGTACCCGACAGTGCAGCACCCCATTGACGTGGATGTTGTAGGCCTGTGGGAACAAATTACAATGTGAGGAGAAAGACTGGTCTGACATAGTGCAGAGAAACGTATCATCAAAAGCTTGTATCAATCCATCTAAAAAGCTTGTGGGTGGATATGAAAATAAGAGAATTAAATATATATGAAGCAGGTAGATTTAAACAGATATATACATAAATATTGACTAAGAACCTTTCTTGAAATATATGGTTAATTAAATAAAGTATTTTTAAGGCATCAAAGCTGACTGTAATTTCTTCAGATGCATTTCCCAAAGGCCCAGACACACCAAACACACAAAGCACTAGTGCCAACAAAAGATGACTCGCGTTGCCTGTGTCTCGCCTAGGGCTGCCCCCTAGTAATCAACCAAACATGAGTCGATCAGGTTAGCAAGATTTCATTGGTCAAACAAAACAAACAACAACAAAAAAACACAAGCAAACGTGAAACTCTATTAGAAGCTGCACCTCTTCAAAATAAATTTGAGAAGGTGAAACTCATCTTCATTGGTCGACTACAAACATGACGTATCATCTGAAACATGGAAGTAGCTACATGCCCATTAGCCCACAGCGTCATTAACAGGCGGCTCGCTCAGTGTGTGGCGTGCACTTGTAGATAAAATATAGGCCTATATTAATGAAGGTTCATTAGTACGGTTTTGTATTTCTCTGTAATGTAGCACAGTGTTAACAATGTTACTGATTAGGGATGGGCAAATGATCATCCCTATCATCCCAATCATCGATAATCGAAAATTGATACTATTCTTTCTCACACCTTCAACTCAAACCATTGTGTTGCCCAAAATATATAATTTAAAAATTACATTAATATCGTGAACATGCCAGCGACTAGTCGACTAATGGCCCTAAATGATTACTATTGCTCGACTAGGAAAATTCTTAGTCGGGGGCAGCCCTAGTCTCACCAAAAAAGTTTCACTTGAACACACCACAAAGACTACAACCAACAGCCAACCAGCATGTACGCTCTGCCCATGCATGACAGGAAATAAGTCTCCACACCAGCAGGCAGTGGTACTCTGTATTCATAAATCAAAAAAGGAAACCAAAAGACCAACACGGTGGATTCAAGACACTGGTAAGCCATTTTGCACCATTTTGCAACAAAGCGTGTCTATCGTACACTGGTAAACAATAACACAATAATTGAGAACGGTTCAAAGGCTTGAAAGAAAATTTTATCTAATATAACAAGTTTGTTTCGATCTCACTCCCTCTTGTCTTTAATCATTTGTTTGCTTCTCTCACTTTTGTTTCTCTCCTCATGCACCTAGCTGTGCCAGTCAGAGTGATTTCATTCACCGACGGGCTCTGCCGTCTGCGGCACCAATTCACCATGCTGAATCAGCGGAAAAATAGCCGCCAAGGGCTGACTAGTGCCAACGGTGTGGGACACATTACTAAAACTAGGGTGACAGATGCTCACAGACGGCTGACCATCAGCTTGGTGTGTCAGGGCCCTTAGGTGCCAGGCTATAAACTCAGTGCAGACTGAAACCACAGTTGGTGAAAAACAGCAAAGCCACAACCGTTGACATCCTGTGCCTTGAACAAAAAGTGACTTTCACTGCTGACTTCTCTTACAACACATCAAGACTACCTTAATCTCCATCTCATTTCGTCTTATCTCACCAACAAGTGTTTGAACTGTGAACTGGATTCAATCAAACTCTTCAGTTGCAAATTTCAATTTCCAATCAAAACAGCTTCTCCTTGCTAATGCAGACGAAAAGACAAAAAAATACAGAAAACAAAGACCACATGGCAAATCTTTAATTTTTCTCTGAGATGCTGCTTGTTTGTTTTGACAGACAGACAAGGAGTTATCACTGGATACTCCTCCACAAAACCAACATTTGGGATCAGCGAATATCTTCTTGCCATCATGTTTGGAGCCAATCTCACAGCGTAAATCTATTTTTCATGTCAGATGCCTCATTAAGTGTTGGGAACGATACCAAACCACATAAATAACAAAGCAATACTTAAGTTATGCCCTCAGGAAGAGATAGATATCTTTAAATTTGCCCAAATAAAGGCTCGCTTACAGAACGGGGCTTTTAAACTGCAAAAGAATCTTGTTTTTTCACCGTGTACCAAAAGTCTATTTATCTTTATTCTTTTTTTTAGAAAGATAATGACCCAAAAAAGCATGACGCAGAAACTTTTCCACCGCAGAATCTACTGATGATAACTCATGGACACAGATTGTTAAAGGTTGGTGAAATATTGTGATTAAAAACAATCAGCAGCTGCTACCACTTCCTAAATAAACCATTATATGACATTAAGACGATGGATCATCTTTCCTTTTTTCAGTTTGTCACAAAATCTGCAGATGTTTTCTATTATTTTGTATGGGGGGAAAAAATGTCCTGTACTAGTTGTACCAACTTTAAGGACTGTTATTTACTTGCTGACAATCATACTTGTTCCTGCATTTACTAAGAAATATCAGCTTCCAACAGCCTGTGTGGGATGACAGGAAGTATGCTCTGTATGCTCGGGTGTCAAGGCACAAACTGTCAGTGCTTTAATCTTCCCCTTCTGTTTCAATGAATATTTATAGTCAACATGGTGGGTCATCTGTCCAAACAAACACAAAAGAAGTCTTAAAGACTCCTGACCACAGTGTTGCATACAGTTGCACATGCCATTACTGACAAAACCAATCAATAGTAAAACAAAGTACGAACCAAAACTTGAGAAAGAAAAAGGGGGAAAAGGAAGGCTGAAGAATTTGGAGGAAGGCCAACGAATTAACTGAAAGATGTGTATGTCGGGAGTATCCAGGCAGGAAGGAAGAATGAGCATGCAGAATATCTTGGCGCTGTTTGATAACACAAAAAATAACCCTACATTTTTGGGGGATTGTCAGCAGTTCAACTCGGGGACAGGGGCAACAATGTAAACACTGTGATCTATTACTCTGTTATGCACACATTTCTTCACGCCAGCTCCAAACCAAAAATTTATTTAAATACTGTAGATTTTGATCCTGGTCGGATCATCTTGAGGCCAAAAACATTTTGACTTGATGAGGATCCATCTGGGAACCAAACGCTGTCTATTTAAAGAAGCAGTTCACTGCTGGCTGGAAAGATGTCTTTTCACAGGGGTTCAAACACATTTTCCTGGATAAAATACCAAACTTTTCCATGACTTTCCAAGGACCCATAATAAAGAATCGGTCCACTGTTGTAAAACATATCAGATTCAGACCCTACTTAAACATGATTTCAGCTGGCTGGTTACAGGAAGGGCGAGACGAACTCAGGGAGAAAATGACAAAACTTATGCAACAGTAAAAAAAAACAGTTACAGAAAATGAATTTGTCACTATGTTCCATTACGTGGGAGGTTATCGACTGTAATAATTTCATTATATACAACAAAATTCCATGACTTTTCCAAAACGTTCAATTATTTTGACATATTCCTAGGGCTAGGCAATATGACCTTGAATCAGTATCACAATAAATTGAATATTTTACCACGCTTAGGATTAATTAACTTTTCAAGCTGGTGTATTTTTTTAATGAAAGAGTGTGTATCTTATCTTTGTGATTTTAAAAGATTTGAAGGAAACACACAGATGAACTGTATTGCTCATCTGCTGGTCAAGTTGCTCAGTTAGCTAGGTGTTTGACAACTCCTCCTTGTTGCTTCCAGGCCGCGGACTGGACAGGGCAGAGTCACTTGACTACACATGCAGTTGTACGTTTTTAGGGTGGACAGTACATGAACACACAAAGTGGAGAAAATATTAACAGAATTAAAACCAAAAAAGAAAATTACCAACATGGGCAAGATTATACCAGTTAGAGATTATGAAAGTCGGTATCGATTCATTTTCAATTCATTGCTCAGCCCTACGAATACCATGACTTTTCCAGGCCTGGAAAATGTGATTATGAAATTCCATGACTGTTGTAGGTTTTCCATAACCATGAGAACCCTGTTTCCACAAAACGGGACAGTCTATGCAAAAAAAAAGGACGTAAATACTTTTGAAATTGGTGCTACTTGATCGGAGAGGACTGAGGCATTTGCTTTTGCTCAAAAGGTAGAAAACCCACAACAACGAGAATACAATGCGCCGCACCAGACCAATAAACCCTACCACTGGTGGCTGACATAGTTCTAGCTGCCTCTCCAAAAACAATATGTTGGCCAGCTGTACAGCTAAGGATCATCCATGCATCCATTTTCAAACTTATCCTCTTGCGGGGTACACCCTAGACAGGTCACCAGACTATCACAGGGCTGACACATAGAGACAGACAACCATTCACACTCACATTCATACCTACGGACAATTTAGAGTCACCAATTAACCTGCATGTCTTTGGACTGTGGGAGGAAGCTGGAGTACCCGGAGAAAACCCACGCTGACACCAGAAGAACAAGCAAACTCCGAACACTGGGTTCAAATCCCCCACCCTGGGTTTGCTGTGAGGCCACAATGCTAATCTCGCAGCCACTTGCAAATTTTTACCAGCATTTGTCTTGTGGCTGGTGCTAATTTCCAACCCTGATTTTAGGCAAGAAATAGGCAACATAGTAACAAGATCTTGGTTCATATTTGATCAGCAGTGCCTAATTTTGCCGTTTGAGCTCAGTTTTTTCACACTCCACTTTTCACAATACACTGTGGCACCCACTTCCTGTTCACAAACTTTCATGTCACAGCTAAACAGTACACTGAAATATGTTCCTCAAAACATTTTGGGCGAGAAATAGAAAAAAGGTGACAAAATCTTGGTTTATATTTGGTCAACACTGCTTAGTTTCGCAATTTTTATCTATATTTGGTCTGCTCTCTCACAATCCGCTGCTATACTCTGTGTCCATGGTGGTGGACGTACAAAAATGAGGAAGTACAATCTGTATTTTGAGCAACAGCCAAACAGTCAGCAAAAATCAGCTGGATGGTGTGGGTTTTTTTTTTCTGGTAAATGAGCAGAGAGATTATGGGTGCTGGCAAGATGGAGGGAAGATTAACATAGTTAATTTACACATACGCTACTTTATTATGACATAAAGCTGGTTGAAAATCTGCAAAGTATCCCTTTAGATACATTTGTAGCTTGGAGTCAGTGTGTAGGCATTAGTCTTAGCCCTGCACCTACATGTGATCTGTGCACGCTACTCCCTTTCACATAGTATGAGTAGGGTGAATAGATTTCAGTCTGTGAAATTTTGAGGTAGGTGCTTATTTGAACATATTTTATGAATCATTTCTGCATCTCTAAGTTTAAACATACTGCTTTCTGGCAGATGCAGGATGATGAGGGCACGCTGTTGAATATGATTTCCATAGTTTGCAATACTATAACCAGAGACAGATGAACTCTATCATCTCAGTCCTGACCTGTTCCTCTTCCAAAGCAAATGAGTCACCATCACTTACAGTAGCACCAGTCTTTCTCTTCTACACACCCACAAACACTTGAAAACATACTGTAAAGACACACCATGTGAACCAGAGAGGAAGATACAAGTCTAACAGACAACAGGAAGTATGAGGACTCAAAAATAAAAGATATGTCTGTGCTTGCACCACATTTAAAAAAAAAACTGCAGCCCTTGTTATTCTGTAAAGGCCGTGTGCAAACTCTGCAGATTCTGTGGCTTACTGGTTCCAAGGTACACACATCCCATCTCTCAGCATTATAATCAAGCAAAGTCCCTTCCTGTGGGCTGGTTACAGGAAGGTCACAATGACAGTCACAGGACTGCCAGCTGAGAGGTGAAAAACGGTCGCTTTATAGTTGCCACTGCAGTATGGAGTAAAAAAATGTGCTCAGACAGGTAGAAACGAGCCAGAGATGGCACCTGAAATGCTCAATTTAGAAACCTATCGACTTTCAACAGCAAGAGTAGGTGTTTGCAGAACAAAGTGGATGAAAAATAAGCAATCTAAATCATATTACTGCACGTACAGTATGATACTACTGCTTCCACAGAGAAAGTATGTTCATATCGTCTTGAGGCAGCAGGGACACTGAATGCACTGACATGTTCAATACTAATGACCTTATTCCAGGATTTTTTCCCCTCTTTGGAGCACATGGAGTCAAGACGGAAAATAGTCATTCGCAGGTGTGTGACATTAAGAGCAGCCAGTGTGATGTCACATGGAAATCAGATGTTGCAGATGTTATTTCAAAGCATCTGGTGATTATCAGAGTGGCTGCATTTTTTTATAAAACATGACACAAAAACAGCTTTTCAATGAAAACTATGGCCCTAATATTCTAAAAGGTTATTTGTTGCTGTGGTGTTTGTTCACATTATTTCCATAACTGACAGGAAATATACTTGAACCCAAGCTGTTCCCTAGCAACGTAATGACTTGTGTTCATGGATAGGTCTGGTTTAAAGGATTGTTAATAGACGCACATTCACACCAGTGCTGTTATCTGAAGCAGTAGGCAACACGAGGGAAAAGGAGGAAATATTTTGAGTTGTCAGCAGTTCTTTTAGACAATACAGCCTCTGCCCCACTTTAGCACACTGTATCCTGACTGTGTCTGCGACTGGTGTTACTGGTTTATGAGGAAAACGGTGTAGAGCAAGCACAAAAGCTGGAAATGTGGTGCTTCACTTCTGCAGTCCTTGACCAGCCCCCATGAATTATTCTCTGAACACTACAGAGCATGTCTGCCAATGTGTCAAGGTAACACAAGGCGAAGCACCTGTCAAACACAGCGGCAATTCAAAGTGCTTTAGACAAGGTATAAAGTAGGGCTGGGCAACATCATGGAGGAAATATCACAATATTTTTGATCAGATACCGCCATAGCAATGTTGCGACAATATTGTTGGGTTACTATTGGGACTTTCACAAAATTTACACAATGAGATTTTTGATGAATCATTATCAGCAGCAGTGTGGACATGACTAAGCAGGTAACTAGAGACAACTAGAGAACAGCTAGTACAGCCTGTTGAATTCAGAAAATACATCACTTTACTGTAATGCAGCCTTTAAAACCAGAAAGAGACAACACTTACAATATTACAATATCCAAAATATAAGACTAAGACATCAAGCCTCACATCACATTATCAATACAATATCGATATAACGCCCAGCTCGAGTATAAAACAACATTAAAGACTACAATACAAGGATGAAAAGGAAATAAAACACAGTTAATCAATGGGAACCTGCTGTACAACAACCAAAGCGAGATGATGGAGCCACAAATTATCGTTGCTCTTGATGTGCTTTCAAGACTGCTATACTTCAGACTGATATATTTAGCCGCTAGTTGGACGACTTTAATCTTGGCTGCATTTTTCCTCTAAATAACAAGGAGGCTTGTGATATCATGTTGGCCAATCTCAGGGAGGATTTAAGTGCTGACTCAAATACCTGTAGAATAAAAGGAACTCTGTTGTGGCTGAGGTGATGAATCAGAGATTAGGGCCACACTCAGATGTCTTCAGGTGGCTCTAACGGTAAATGACAACAAATCAACTGGCACCAACTTAAAGGGTAACTTTGGTGTGTTTTAACCTGAATGCTACCTTAACATGTTTTGTGTCTAAGTGACTAATGGGAAAGGCAGTTTTTGAAATTGGTCCAGTACTGAGTGAGGCCGCTGCAGTCATGAAAACAGGCTGCTGTGTAATCACTTGGGGCATTTGTGCATTTTGAATTCACGTCCACTATAAGTGCTTGGTTTTGCCACTAATAGGCTCAGATTGTCTAACAACATTACAGAAAGGATCCCAACAGAGATAAACCTGTTTGTTAAAGAGTAAGATCCTATTTATTTCACCAGAAACAGCCCTGAAATTGCCAGCCAAACCCACCAGACTCCATTTAAATAAACAGTAATTTAAGCCTGTATAGAGCCAGCATATTTTCACATCTAACTGGGTGAATTAAGGATTTATTTAAACTAAACCAGAGTTGCAAATGGTTGTAACAGTGGAGAGACAAAGCAAGATGGCTTTTGTGAGTGTTATTTTGTTTCTGTCGACTTTGAATTTAGTGTGTTTTACTATGATAAAACCGCTGCTTTTTTAAATGGAGTCTGGGAGGTTTTAGTGACAATGATTTTGAGGCCGTTTCTGCTTGAACAAAAAGGATCTTACTCTTTTACAAAAAGGTCTATCTCTGTAGGGATCCTCTCCATAATGTTGTTAAACACTTATAACAACAATCTGAGCCTGTCAGTGGCAAAAACAAGCACTTTTAGTGGGCGTAAATGAATGGTGCATGATTGCGCAAAGTGGCAAAACTGCAGCTTGTTTCAGCTGCTGGCTGCAACATTCTCACACAGTATTGGACCAATTTAAGAAATAGTTGTACCCATTAGTCACTTAGACACAAAACCATGGGAAAATAGGGTCCAGATTTATTTAAAAAAAATTAAGCTACCCTTTAAGACACACAATAATGCAACATTTTGGTGCCACATTGCAGCATCTACTAAATGTTTAATGCCAGATATAATGTTGCTTTCAAAGGCCTGACAGAATCACAGTCTCTCTAGGCATGTTTTCATGATCAAATAGACTTTTACTCAACTTCCTCATGCTTTACTTCCCTAAATCAAGTTCATCCGCTTGCTAGACTGCGTCCATATGAAAGACAGCGACCGCATATGTGAGACAAATTGGGATTCTGTAGTCTAACTGAAGGTATAGCTGTTTTTTTTTATTACATTAGGCCTTTTTGATGCATCACTGTTGATGCTATCAGATAATTTCTAAGAGTAAACATAGGAACTCGTGCTGCATTGACATTAGCCCGACCTGTGGCCAGCTGAGGCCAGCCTTTAACACAGGCTAACTGAAAGCGTGTGAAACAAAAACACAAATTGATCATGCTCACCACATATGTTGATCCATTTTCTCCCGAACGAACCTCCGTTTCGGGTATGGAAAAATGCATTTTGGCTCGAAACACACAGCCTGCTGCCTGTCGACAAGTCCTTCAACGCCAGCACAGCCTACGATGGAGAAGAAGACACCACAGTTTGCCCACAAAGTCCACTGCAGTGACTGTCGGCGGTGACTACAGAGGAGGAGGAGGCTCTCACACGGTTTATCCGCTGGTTTGTAAGTCCGGGGAAAGCGGTGCCAGACTGGAGGAGACTGCTGACGACTTTATTATCTGGGCAACAACTCATGTACCCACTAGCATTCGCATAAAACTTCTCCCACGTCAGTGTCAAACTTTTCTCACTGCCGTTCCCGCAGCAGCCATGTTGCAAGTGTTAAGTAATTACACCTTCACTAGTGGCGTTAAAATATCCTTTCCAGCCACTTTTAACCAAGTCGTGATAACTTAAAACCACCTACTGTGATGTTTGAGTTTCAACGTGTACAGGTGACTGTGTTCATTAGCGAAACCAAGATGAAGTTTCGGGATAAAAGGTGCAGTTGCTTCCTGCGAACCCCACAGCGTCGCAGACCCGTTGGCAAACGTTTCGAAATATGAGGGGAGACAGTTGCACTTTTGGTGGTTTGGTTTGTATTTTTCCTGTCTCCTACATTCGCTGAAGAAAAATCGACAAAGCGACGGAGGTAACTCATAGATAAAATGTGGTAGAAACGGCAGAGAAAGGCAGATGTACCAGGACCGTCAAGCCATTCTGTGTTCTGTGTATCTAGTTGCCCATCAAGAGGCATTGCAACAATCCAGCCGGGCTGAACCATCTCGTGTGTAGCCGGGGGGTGGTCCACTCTGCGCGGGCACGAAATAACAAAACACTGGCACAATTTCCGCCACACATTTTAACCCTTAACACGTAATAGTGTTTCATTATTTTATACATGTGCTACAGTCATGTTTTGTTCTACATTTTAAGCTTTAAAAAATCGTCGAAGTTGAGGTCCCCACTTTAGTTGGTGCAACCCAAACTGACAGTGAAAGCGCAGTCAAAATTCATTACAGTCAGTCAGAAAAAAAGCGATTACATTTTGTCAGCAATTTTAGAAATTTAACGGGACAAAACTCTTAACGTTACAACCTACTTAGATTAATTCGTTGCACATTAATTAAAAAATAAAAAAAATGCTCATTTTTTTAATGTATGAAGAATGTATGCGTTGCAATAAAACATTAAATTAATCCAAACACTTTCTAATTAGCTACAAAATCAAATATTCGGACATATTATCAATTTTTCTGCACAAATAAAAAAAACGCTAGATGTTACTGGATGCATTCACGTGCTGCTGTTTGTTCTATTGACTACGTATTATCCATTTTTCTGCACAAATAAAAAAAAAAACGCTAGATGTTACTGGATGCATTCACGTGCTGCTGTTTGTTCTATTGACTACGTAAGCAGAGAATGTCACAATAAATGCTCCAAATTGAGTGTTTGCGCAATTGCAGCGCAACAATCAAGACTTGTGGATCTAGTTGGACCAGTTTCCTGTCACATGTCCGCTACAGTAGGATCATATGACCTCAGTCGATGAAAATGAAAGCTGGGTGCAGCCAGCTGAAACCTGTGGTGCTTATTTTGATCTTTAATTCGTGTTTTTACGCAAGTTATCAACTGACTGGGCTGCAGGTAAGACTTGGGTTTGATAATGTAACAGCTGTAGTCTGAACCAGGATGTGTAAATATCCACATATTGTTGGAAAAACAGAGTGTTTTGGTGGATGTGTAGCAGCTGTCGGTGCCAGCGAGGATGATTGGGATTATTGTTGTTTACATCCTGTTTTTTCCTCTGTGATATTTTGTATTAACAGGTATGTGAGCTGTGCAGTGGTGCGGTCCTGAATGGGTCCGCAGTGGGCATGTTTTGCTCCTCATCTGCTGGTCGGATAGACGGGCGATGCTGCTTGAGAATTAGCAACACAGGCGACCCTGAACACATCATTGGGTAGGACTTCAATGCCGCCTTCAGGGTCTACCGGAAATATAGTTAAATTAAATTTAATTACGCCACGAGATAAATGGTCTGTGGATAACATTATCTGGTAAAAATTAAGAAATACTGTGCAGTAACTATGCAAAAAAAGTAAATAAGCCTAAATATATATGTTTAAAAAACGAAAAAAAGGTGTTTTATTCAAGTTTTATTGTTCTTATTTCTATTTTTTCTGTGATTTTATTTTACATATTCCTTGTTTGTACTTGTTTATTTTTGTTTATATGACAATTAGGAGGGTAATCTTAGATTTTTGGGGGCAAACTGATCAATATCAGAGTCAGTGATGGAAAAAGTATTCAGATTTTTTTTTAACTAAGTAATTCTAACTGCTGTAGTTTACGTTGTCTTTTGTCCAGTGAATTTTATCCTTTTATTTGTTTCAAAACCTCTTGCCAAAGGACTGCAGTTGAGTATTAGCCAGCTGGATAACACTGGCACATTTACATAAATGTTGATTAATGTGGGTTGTCCTTATAAATAAAATAAAGTAATAAAATTACAGTTTACAAATACCATGTTACAAGTAAACATCCTGCATTCAAATTCTTATAAAATTAACAGTACATTTCAGAATTATATTATATTAGTGGATATATAATTATAAGTGGTTTAGTGTGTTCATCATTTTAATGTTGCAGCTGGTAAACGTGTAAACTCATTTTAGATACTCTCTAAATTGCTGGGTGTTTAATCTGTAACAACATATACTTTATTATTTGATTATATTTTGTATTATTAATCTTTAATTAGGAATCTGTAAAGTAACTGAAGCTGTCAGACAAATATTGTGAAGTAAAAAATACAGTATGTGCCTCAGAGATGTGGTAGAGTTAAATTTTAAAGTCACATAAAATGAAAAGAATTTGAATAAATGTATTTAGTTACATTCCACCACTAATGAGAGCAGAGACACAGAAGTTTGACCTTATATGGCAACCAAAGGAAGGTCATTAGAACGTTTTCAGTGGTCTTATTTTGCAAAACTACATATTACCATTACTATTTCAGAGTGCACCTGTGGTCTGGACAATCTTTTTATGACCTGTGCTCCTTTTGATAGAAGCTTAGAGGGAGAATTGAAAGACATACTGATGGGTTAGGCAGACTTTCAAAGACTAAAACCAATCACAACAAAACGCCTCTGCAACTTTTAAAAGTAAGAGCTGCATAATGATGAGTTTGTTTTGTTAATGTTTCAACAAAGTTTTTTGTGTGTGTCAGGTTGGATCTGTCCAATTGTTCACTAACTCACATGGAGGATCTTCAGGGAGCATCAACAGCACTAATAATGTACGTACAGTTACTACAGTTTCAGTTACCTTTTTACACAACGTACAGTATACAGACAATATTACACAAGACCCTGTGTGGACACCTCTTTAGTGACTGTGAGGTTATTTTTAAGGCAAAGAAGAAAACATATGGTACATGTACAAGTGACGTAAACATCTGCACTGCAGCACCAAGGAGACGTACGTGGATGATTCCTCAGAATGTTGTTTGTGTTTATAAGATCAGGAGATAGGAGAATTTATATTCATAGCAGCAAATAAAAACTTTAATCTCTCAACTACTACTCAGAAACAGAAATAAATAAGAGTTTAATCAGATTAATCCCACATAAGTACATAATTAGAGAACTTAAAATATAAGGACTGTATGAACACGTCTTATTCATTATGTTTTATTAGTATTAATACCAAACATTTGCCTTTGCATTTAAAAGTGTTTTTACTTTATAACTTTTACTTTGCAGAGACCTCTCACGCAATCCCATAGTGAACATCAGTGACACAGCTTTTCAAGGATTCATTGAGTTAAATTACACGTTAGTACTCTGTTAAAAAATTAAACTATAACAGCTAATTATGAGTTTTATATTTTTGTAACTCTATTTTTGTGTGTCTATAGGATTTTGCCACAAGACATATTTTGTCCAGGGGGCAACACATCTTGGGAAAAGGTGGAGGTCAAAGATGGAAACCGTCTTTGTGAAGGCCAGAGAAATATGTGCAACCAGACTGGACAGCTGTGTAAGTTCCCATCTGATACTCTTATACCGTGACACATAAAATATAAAACTGGAGTAGCCTTCTGGTAACACATGACAACTGTTCATCTCATGATTATTAACAATCCTCAGCCCTTACCTGCCCGGAGAACTCCCTCTGCGGCCCCTACGGCCCCGGCTTCTTTGAGTGCAGCTGTGTTGACAGCTACCATGGATACAAGTGTCTTCGAGAGGTCAGTTCTGCAAGAAGCTTGATTTTAATTATTTGCATTATGTACTTAAAGGAATACCTCAACCCCCCAAATAACCATTTGATTATCAATTATGAGACATTATTGGATGAATTGAAGTCATAGGGGTCCACGTTTAACAGCAGCAAAACTATATCAAAACATCTGTTTACAAACTCTCACAAAACTCGTGCAGTATAATCCAGGTCTCATTTATCCAGTCGTATGCTCAGTATTTCTCAAACACTCGCAAAAATGAAACTTATTTATGTTCTCTTCAAAGCCAGACTCCAGTGACAAAAACAGTAATTTTACCTTGCACAACACAGGAGCTGCTGGTCTACCACTGCCTCGATTTGTAGTTTGTGTTACGCCTCCTTACCACTTACGTATGTATACGGAGGCGAGTCAGTTGGAAGTCCTTTCATTCCTATGGGAATCTCCATGATATCCGATGTACCTGTGAAACTCCTCCCCTCTGTCCAGAATTTGCCTCAAGTACGTAAAAAAAATTAACTTTTGCGGTGGATTTTGGAGAGATCATATGACAGTGTGTTAGCTTAGCTAGCAGGCTGCTAACTTGCTAACAGGCTACTTTCATCAATTCAGTGTCTGTTGATCGTCAAGTGAGTTTGTACGATTAAAAAGGTACATGCCACATACCTGATAGGTCCTGCTTCTGTCTCGTTAATGTTCCAAGCACATTTTCCAAACTACTGGATGATGAAAATAGGACTAAATTAGCCTCTCCCCCACAGCCATTGGTAGTTTCTATCAGGTTTCTATCCATCCGTAAAGAAATGCACTTCCTTGCGTTGGACACTAGAGGCATCATTTGTACATTTACAGATCTACGGACACCGGTCACATATGTAAATGGAAACAAGGCATTGTTGTGTGACTGGGCTAAGTCGGAAATAACCCTTTAGAGGAACTGTGTGTAAAATTAAGAGGATTTAGAGACACCTAGTGGTGAGGATTGCAGGTTGCAACCAGCTGAAACTTCTGGTTAGAAATGCTTTAGTGTTCATTGTTCAGGAGGTTTTTACGGGGAGCTGAATTAGTTAAGTTAACAAAAACATAACGATTCTTATTTTCAGGTGATTATACACTGAAGAAAACATTCTTATTATTTTACAGTATGATCCATTTCTGCCAATATATCCCCCTAGATCCCACACACTGAACCTTTACAATGCCAAAGTCACACAATACCATAAACTAACTGATCAAGGCAGTGGTAGACCAGCAGCTCCTGTGTGCAGTGAGGTAAAATTACTGTTTTTGTCAATGGAGTCTGGCTTTGAAGAGAGCAAAGATAAATTTAATTTTCCCAGTTAAGTGATATATACAAATGGTCATTATGGAGGTGAAGTTTTTCTCTTACATTGTTGCATTTGAAACTTCTGATTATTTAAAGTTATGTATTTATTTTCATTGTAAACAGGGGGAGTTC